TAAATAAATAAAATTTTTTAAAAATAATCTTGTGTAGTTTTCAGAAGTTCCAAGTTAGCAGGTTACAGCACTGGGCCTGCTACAATTCCATTTGACATGCTTAAATTATGCTGCAGTTTAGTTGAGAAGATTTCAGATATAAAGTTTCTTTGGTGTTAATGGGTACATCATAATTTTCAAAATCAAATGAGTGGAATGAAGCTTTAGAATGTTCAGCAATCTGAGAATGGTAGACATTTTTATCTTCACAGGCGACACTCCTCCAGTTGAAGTACATAAGCCAGCAAAGAAGACACGAATCTTTCAAACAAAAGTGCATGAGGCTATTGTTGCAATTCTAACTCAATGTGCTATTACTGCATACTGATACAAAAAATATGCCTGAATGAAATGATCAAGACTTAGATTAATGCAGCCCAAAACACCGTTGAAGGTTCAAGACGATCTTCACAAAAGCAGCAAACAACATTCCAGTACAGCCATATACTCAGTGAGGTTAAGTTCAAACTAAGCATCATGCAACTTCCTCTTCATTCCAACAGGATAAACATTTCCACGCCTTCAAAAAGCATCTAGTGCACACAAACATAAGTCTGCAACAGTTCCATAAAATAACAATGCCACTGCATATAGAGCTGGTTCAGAAATATGGTTAAGCCTTCAAAATTTTCTAGTTATCTGAATATAAGATGTTACTGGTACTCTAGAACACTGTCTCCAAATACAATGCCATAAGCACTTGAGCTTCTTTAAGGCACACTGCGTTTATCTTCCATCACTTCTCTTTGCATGAGTTAATCACAACATATCATAAATTTCATTACACAACACAACTTGGCAGCAAACAGGACACAATGAACCATTTTTTTTAATTTCCTTTCAGGTATATGTTAAAAAGTGTTATTTGTCACTGTCCATCATTAACAACAGAAAATTCACACCATGGAGTCAGATTTCATTAATTTTAATATGGGTAGCCCTTAATAATCCCTAAGGAACAAACACAACTGTGGCATATACTGGATGATTTGGACCATCACCATAGTTGTACATACTAAAATGCCTATGTGTTATTTACAGATTTCAGCAAACTTCTTGCATGGAAACATTTTTAACAACATCTCAAAATGTTCCTTTCAAGTTGAACTGATCCACCACTTTACCTGGGTGGCAAAACTAAATTTTAAAAATATCTTGTTTAATATTCACCCAATTAAAATAGTTAAAAAAAAAAGTAAAGCTATCCCTGTACCAGGCCGTGAGGGCCCATAGGGTTGTGAGACATTGAGGGTCCCACATTATCTAGACAATCGGCTCAAACATGGCAGTAAGGTTGTCAGCCTTACGCGCCAGCCACGCTTTACTCCCCAGGAAAATTATTTAATTAATTCCTGGTACTCATTTCTGTTAGAGGCTGAGTAAACCCCAGAGCCTAGTGCGACTGGAAGGATTACGTCAACTGAAAAAAAATCCAATGACCTCATTGTGACTTGAACCCGCAACCTTGCGGCTTTTAGCATAGCACCTCAACCAACTACGCTACCGCATGCACCCTTCTGATAAAATGTGCAGAAGTGAATGAAATGAGGTACCTAAAATACTTCATGCATCTCTCTCATACAAAACATCTGTAAGCAACATAAATAGCAGATCTAATTTACAATCTATTGGTTTAGAATTTCAATGTGGCATATGTTTAACGAAACACGAAGAGTAAAAATTTCTGACTCCAGATAGTGTGAACAGCTTTGCAACAGTGCTTTCATATCTCCAATGTAATGGAACTAATTACTGGCTTTCATTTTTGTATGCTATTTTTTAAGAAAATATGTAGGAAAGTCAATAAATAAGTTAAAAATGGTTATAGAACAAATAAGAGTACTGATTTGAAAAATGCTTTCATTTCTCAACATAATCTCCCTGTACACTGAGGCACTTGTCCCACTTTCACAAACCCCTGAAAACAAGCAGCATAAAATTCTTTGGGCTGCTATCGGAACCAGGCGGTGACTTCCCTTTCTACAACTTCATCGTCGGGAAAATGTTCAGCCAAAAGATGATGTTTAAGAGGGCTGAACAAATGGAAGTCGCATGACAGGTTAGGTTTTCACAGTCTGTGCACAATGGGTGACATGCATGCTGACACCACAACACAAAATGCATGGGTCTGGCATTACAGCATCTCAATCGCTACCACGATGGACACAATATGCTAGCCCGAATTGTCACAGGTGATGAGTCTTGCTCCAAGTGACTTCCATTTGTTTGGCCCTCTTAAACATCGTCTTTTGGCTGAACATTATCCCAACAATGAAGCAGAAGGGAAGTCACCGCCTGGTTCCGACAGCAGCCCAAAGAATTTTATGCTGCTGGTTTTCAGGGGGTTGTGAAACGATGGGACAAGTGCCTCAATGTACAGGGAGACTATGTCGAGAAATAAAAGCTTTTTCAAATCAGTACTCTTATTTGTTTAAGTTCTATATCCATTTATAACTTACTTATTGACTTACACTCGTAGTTACCTACATAAATCTTACAAAAGATAATGAAAATTAATGTCCTTTAACACAGACAGTATTCAATCAAGATTAAGTATTATGATGCATGAATGGCAATAGGAGAGTAATCAAAGAGTAAATAAAAATTAAGCAGAGGTGTTTAACTTACTTCACACTTATTCTACACAGGATATAAATAAGTCACAATAAGGACAATGTAGAAATATACTTGTCCTGCTATAAGATCTGCATTAGCAATAAACATCCTGGGCAGAGGTACATAAATATGCAATGAACACATTTAAGAAACATGCGTACTCCAAATTGAGTTCTCCTCATTCTCAAGTTCAGCTCCGTGCTTACTCACATTACCATGAACAGATTACTGAATTGGAGGTTAAGCTCCAATTATTCTTTACCTCAGCTCCATGGGTGAATGGTCAACATCAGGCCTGTTACAAGTGTTCACAGTACCAGCTGGGGACAGGGTGAGAGGGTCTTGGAATTGTCCTGAAAGATGTGGTGAAGAGAAATATTCCAATGTTCTCGCCATAAACAGCAACCTTGCTCTGTGTGGTTGGTCACTTAAATAACCAAGCTCCTAAACATCCAAAAGGATATTTTTCCAAATACCTTCCACCATATAAGGAGTTTTGGTTCAGAACTGTGATGAAAAGGTATTAACGAACACAATTTTGTAAGTCGTTTTCACAAAAATCTTTCCATTTGTATGAAATGAATATGAAAACTCATTTCAGATATGTATCTAACAACTGGCTAAACTGGTAAAATGGTTAACACTGGATTTTGTAGAAACATCCCATCACTACTACCACATGCCTTAGACTGCTGATCAACATAAGAATGTGGTAGCTTATCACAGTTAACACTGTAAAGTCCATCTACTATATGAATGAGGGTACATCATACCTTGAGCAGGCAACCTTATAGAAGAAAATTCCTGTGAACACATGTCTGAATTTCCCCGTGGTGTCTGAATACTGTAAGTATGTTGAAAATAGAATCCATCAGCTTTCTGATGACTTTAACGACTTATCCTACTAACTCAATATGACGCATATATATATATGTGGAGTATAACACATTGTACCTCAAAATGTGAATTATAAGCAAACACAACATGGAGTAATTCCCTCTCTCATGATTCAGAAAGACAGGAAAGTCACAGCAGATGGTCACTGTAGGATTATATTTGTCTGAAAAATATTTTGGTGCCTATAGGTTAGACCTGTGAGCATATGAAATAGTGATCTTTTTCTGGAAAATAAATAATGTTGCCACACTGGGGATCATACACTTAATGGCAGAAAGAATTAATGCAGGCACTACAGCAGAGCCCCTCAATTCCAAACTAATTTAAGTCCAATAAAGGCATTCCCACCAACTCAAACAAAGTGAGATTTGCAATTCTTATGGCAGTGACTGTGAAGATTGCTGTTTTCTGCGATTTGGTGCCACAAAGTTCAGTAGATAATTATCAAGATTTTGAAGAAACCTGTTGCCCCCATTTTTACGGTAACCTAAGAATGGGGGCAGCAGGTTCATTTAAAATATTGGTATGTATCTTTCAAATTACATGGTGTAAACATCCCAGAAGGCAATAAATAATGTTGTAATTCAGATATTCAAGATCGCGTCACAAAGAGAAACATCAGCTGCATGCCCTATCTTTACTGCAGACATTGTACTCCTCATATACATCACACATCTATATATATAAAAACTGCCAAGACCAAAACCTAATTTTTCCTTTCAATTTACACAATATTAAGACCAAAGATATTCTGCAAGTCGACTTACTAAACATTCTGATCCTGTTACAAGATTTGAAGAAAATGGTTTAAATAAATTACATGTAATCATAACACAACTGATAGTGCTTACACTCTGCTGCCTTTCATGATTTAAAGGCAAATGTACATGTTCAAGTACATTGTACAGTACAAGCTGCACTCTTTTTGCAGAGCCTAGATTGTAAAATACTGGTTGATATACTTTTCTATAATATTGGACAAAACATCAGTCTCCAGCCTTGATGAAACTGCATGAATGGAATGTCAAAAAGAAATTTATTCCTATTATAACATTAGCTATTTTGAATCCAAAAAATGAAAACAAAATTATTCACAAAGTAAATGAAATAATGATAAAAACTTATTGAGCAATTTACTCAGTAATTTATGAACTACATTCATAATTGCACAACCTAATTATTTTATTGTGCAAACACTAATAAAAGCATAATATATTATGCAATACCAACATCACACAAGTATTTAGCACAAAATGCTCAAAATACTTAAACATGTACACCTGCCTTACAAACCTACAAGACCTGTTCAGCTGCTTCCTCATGGCAAATACATTTCACACAGAATACTGTAATTATTCATATCCCAAGCACAGGTAATAACACACAATCTGGTAACAATTACAGTCCGTGTTGCATTGCTCGAATACCTGCACCTACTGTCAACAAGAATAACACAGGTTTCTTCTCATTTATCTCATGCAGCTGGTTTTGTAGATCAGTTTCAGTTCTTCCTCAGAATTCAAAACCAAAGAGATCACTTAGTCCTTCTCCATCACCTAAACTGAAGCTGTAATCCGACTCGGACAATGGAGGCTCAAGTGGGAGGAAGAGTTCATTGTTGAATGAACCTTGAACAGACAATCCTGATATGTCGATGACAGAGTCACTCTCTGTAGAAAAACAAAAAGAACATCTCTGTAAGTAACACATAGAATGATGAAATGTTAACAATAAGAGGGCGAGACAAATCCTGAATGCCAGATCACCAGAGTGTTCTGAAGTTATGTAGTGAATTCTTAACTGGCCACTTCCCTTGACATTTCATTTAAGATGTCCATGAAGCAAAAGGTAGAGGAAATATTTGGTTTATTTTATGTTACTCTGCCAGTTTAAATTAATATATACAAACGACTTAATAATTTAAAAATTTAATTTAAACACGTCTTTTCCGCTTTACCTGTCAGCCAGCATGCTAACATGAGCAACCAAATTCCATTCCAACATAGGAAAATCAAACATAATTAACACACCAAAAATATGGGCGAAATAAATTAATAATCCTCTCTCCTCCCACTCCCCATATACCCTGAAATGAAACATCGACAAAAATTACCAATTCCACCAGTTTCTGAAACTGTGCATCATGACCCCAAGGAGGTAGCAAAGTTCTCCAGAAAAATTAAAAAAATATACTTGTATCCATGCAGTTTGGCAAATTAGTAAGTGAGAATTAATATAGGTGCTTTTTAAAAATGTATCTGCAGCTAGCAAAATATTTCACAAATTATTTTGTGACTGTACAGAAACATTTTACAGTTTACTGCTGGTACATGGTTGAAGTTATTTAGGTTCCTGCTGTCACTACAGCCTGACAGAGGCCTGCAACAACATGCAAACTGCATTTTTCACTAATTAGCAGAGATGGGGGTGTGTATATCTGTAAGCTGCAGTATGACAAAGTTTGAGAAGCCTTCAGTTAAAAATTAATGAACTTACAGAATGGTAACTCTGTACGATCTGTACAAATGCCAAACATTATTAGTTCTAATTATCAGAGGCTGAACATACTTATGTATCAGATTTGTCAAGGCAGAAACATTAAGATACACAACATAAAATACATGAGATATGGCCAGAAATATACTACTATATTAACACATTAAGATGTAAAGATAGGATAAGACAGGCAGGTTTGGCATATTTCTATGGGAAATCCACAAGCTTAGACATTCACTCTAGCCACAGCAGAAGTTCTCTGTCACAATCATAGCCATTATAATTTGATACTCACTTTCACTTCTTACAAGAACAATGTTTTGAAGCATAAATACAAATGTTTACTCTCACTCATGTATATATTCACTTTTACTTGTACAAGTTAGATCTTTCAAATCAACAATTCCAGTTTGGTACAAGCTGTTTCCTGAACCTGTACTTAAAGTATCCTACATTCCTCGTCATACATCTTCCTTTTACACTTCCTTGTACCAATAAATTATAACTGTGTAACAACACTAATATATTGTGTTATGATGGTGTATTTACGTGTCCTGGTAAACTGATGAATGTGACTGAGGAAAAGATGTAGACCAGTAGCACTTCAGTTCCAAAACAAGGTAAATGCATATCCACAGGAGGTCAAACAAAAACAAATAGAAGTGTAATGCGTAATTGCTGACCCACATCAGACTAAGTTACAATGTGTGGTAAAAATGTGCATGTGTAAAAGTAAAAAGCTATCTCTGTACCAGGCCGTGAAGGCCCATGGGGTTGTGAGACGTTGACGGTCCCACATTTTCTAGACAATCAGCTCAAAGATGGCAATAAGGTTGTCAGCCTTAAGCACCGGCCATGCTTTACTCCCCAGGAAAATTATTTAATTAATTCCTGGTACTCGTTTCTGTTAGAGGTTGAGTCGACCCCAGGGTCATAGTGCGGCTGGAAGGATTAGGTCAATTGAAAAAAAAACCAATGACCTCATCAGGACTTGAACCCAGGACCTTCCGGCTTGTAGCATAGTGCCTCAACCACTACACTACCGCATGCCCCAAAAATGTGCATGTGTAGGCTTCTTATATACCTAAAACATGTTTCACATGATTCACTGGTGTCATATGACATGGTATTTTCACTGTGTTGAATCTTAATGTTTCAACATTTTCCGTTCATAAAAAGTATCAAAAGAGTGAAACATTTTTCTGGTTCATAGACAGAAACAAATTTGTTGAGTCTGGTATTAGAATATACATTTCTCCAGTCAATGTTCCCACTCTTTATACCACAAATGATTCTTGTAAGCAGTTCAAGTTTCCTCTTCTTGTCCAGCAACTAAAATGAAGCAACATGCAAGAAACAAAGACACAAACTCCACATTTCAAGCAAGGAAGCAAGACTTAGAAGGCATGGCAGGACCCGCAACCCTGAGCTAAGCCGAATCCCATGGTGCTACAAATGTATTCTGTGAAGCAGCCATGAAATTTAGCTCAGCCAAGAGCGCATGCTAGTACACAAAGCAAACACACACACCATCAACAGACAAATAACACATTATCCAAGAAAATAGTTCACAGTTGTGTTAAATTTACCTCAGTATAAAAATTATACAAGCTTTTTATTTTATACTCAAATGGCAGGGAAGTAAATATTTTCCTCAACCCAGTGAGGCAACAGATTCAGTCACAATGACAATGACTTCTGACTGCCCCACATTCTTGTGCACAACGATATCGAGTATATCACCATTCCCCATAGGAGAGTCATGAGGGGGACACTGTTGTGCCAAAATTTCGAACTTATTAAATGCCGTAAATCCAGTAGTTTCACACCTGAAGCATTAGAAAATATACTGTTCCAAAAAGTATGATTGGCATTCAAACCTCCTGCCAATAGCGACTTATGTCTAAAGCTTAAGAGATCAGTGGCGTCTGTACCATTCCAGGTGTGGCCTGATAACTTTCAGACAGATGCAAGTAGCACTTCACTATTACCAATCAATATGCAAACCCCCATAGGTTCTATTGAAACAAGCAGAGACAGGTTCTAACTGAAGACTGACAGCTCCTAGTTACATAACCTCTGCACGAAATGCACAAAAAACACAATTTTCAAGAGTTATTCCACTGTTGTATGACATCACTATTAGCACAGACTGCATAGAAAACACAACCCTAACAGTTACTCCATTGCTACATGTTACACAGCTGTTACCTAACAACAACCATTTCTCTTGCTTCATAATTCTTGTTTTAAGCAAATATGCCATAATATTAACATTTTAATGCAATTAGATACACCTACATAGAGTTCTGAGAGGAATCAGAACACATTAATAAAAAGCATGTTTCAGTTTTGCATTTCCACCTCTCGGCTGGGACCGCACGAGCGCACAAAATGTGTCCGTTGTAACAAACGTCGTGACATCCGTTGTAGAAATAATGCGAATGCTACGCTTTTATCTGGCTCCATTGCAGACAAAAAACTACGCACTGCATTCTGCAACTGTGTGGTGTCCTCAGCAACGTCCATCATGAAGTACGTTCGTTGCAACAGACGTATTTCGTGCGCTCATGTGGCCCCAGCCTTGGAGGTACATTATTCACAGGGTTGTAAAACAATTAAACCTGATATCAGAATACAAATGATTGTGACATTATGGATATTACTGCCTTAAAAACCAATATGTACTCAAAATTTGAAATACGTTTTGATTTTGAGAATTAGAAAAATATAGAAAACAATAATACCCTTAAAATTTAATGTGATCCCAAATTACACTTCTGTATAGAATGATTAAATTATTAAATATTATCTCATATGTTCCTGTATAATCTCGAGTAAATGTACTATCAGACAAACTTTCTTTTGTATGGATGTGTACTATTAAGATTAATTGTGTACATTTCTGGTTCTTCTCAGCACAGAATATTTTCTATTGTTATCTACATGTCATATCCACTCTAATAGTCAACAAGCATATCAAATTAATTTTAATAATAAACAGAAGCATGAAGTTACACAAATAGTGCACTTACTTCGTAATATACAGGAATCATCAGAATATGCTTCACAATTTAAATCATTTTACAACACTAACTTTCAAGTGTATTACTGTTTTCTGCAATTTTCCATGAATTCTTAAAATCATGAACTTATTTCACTTGTTAAGTATACACCAATTAGCTCTGTAACCACTTGCATTTAAAACCCCTGAAGACAGATATATATTGTGACATGTTGCGCAACGAAGAACCCCTCCCTACCCAGCAGCAACGTGGCAACTCAGGCCACAGTGACGTGGTGGATGAGTCAGTGCTCACCCCCAACGGTAACGTAAGACAGCGTGAGGTAACAGGCACACACAGCCCCTATATAAGAGAGCTGCGCTGCCTCCGGAGTTAGTTGTAACGTAGCAGTTGCCAAGTTGAGTTGTAATGTGGCCATCGCCGAAGACAGTTCCGAGTTAGTTCTGAGCAAGCCTACGAGCAAGTGTGTTATCAACAGTTCTCCAGTGAGCAGACTACAGTTGGAGTATAGCAGCCGTCGTGGAAAGAAGAACCGGACGTGTGTGTAATTGTGTAATTGGGAGCGTGTGATACAGTGATACATAGCTCCCATACTGTAAACGTGTAGACTACTGAAGACAGAGTGAACTGATTTGCGAATAGGGTTATAAATTGTGAAACCCCGCAACAGTGTTAACAGATTATTGCGATTAGGGTTATAAAGTGTGAAACCCCGCAACTGTGTGATAAGTAATTGTAGCCGTTACTTGTAGGTTGTTGAATAAACCAATTAACGATCTCAACAGCGTCTTCAGTGATGAAACACGTTACAATATGTATATACAGATCTACAGCCCTTGTGGGCCTTGCCTGCTTTTTCAGTTTCTTAATCTATACACAGTTGGTAAGACTCCCTGGATGGGGAATCAGACTGCCACAAGGCTCCTACCTACACAGGGCACAACATGAACACTGAATAAACACACACAAACATCCATGCCTTGAGTGGGATTTGAACCCAAGGTCCCAGTGTTCAAGAAGGTACAGACTGTTCATGCTTTAGACTGCGCAGCCACTGTGATTAAAGAAGATAGCAATACAAAGCTGAATTGTGTCAGGTAAGAATGTATTTTAATTATCACCATCTTCATTGTCTTTAAGTCTGTGGTGCATATTACCAATGTTACTTCTTGTGCATGAATCTACATATAAAATGTAAAGCTGGCCGCATACAAGTAACCCGCTCATCAAATCTGTGTTATAGCTGTATCCAATGGCAGTAATAAATTAATAAGTTGCAGCTGATACAATCATAAATTCAACTATAAAGATATTTCAGGACTTTACTCTGGGCAAGCCTTTCCTTTATTAGCACATAAACTTCAATCCTACAAAATTATGTAAAACACTTCTATATGCACATGCTGTAGGGTACAGATACACAACAGAACATTCAAGTCATGCAATGTTGGCTCCTAAATGTAGGCATGGTACAGGTAAAGTTGTACAGTTCTGCACATTAGCATATCCTCATCACCTACCAGCATTTCAAGAACATGATACAGTAAAGTCTTACCTCAATAAATGTCCAAAACAGACCATGACCTGCAGCTTACACCATTAGTATAGAAAATGCACACAAGTTAGTGCTTGGAGCAGGTGGCATGCTAGTAACCTAAACTCTGTCTGTGATGTGACATTAACCACCGCACAAGTCACAGCCAGAGTTCTGGCACCAACGTACCATTCTAGGGAGCGAGCCAAAGCACATATTTCTGAACTTTCATGCAAATATCACAAATCTAATTAGAGCAGCAATGTTACGAAGCAATATCAGGGAGAGCCCAAGAGTTGTCAGTAAGCAATCACTTGCAAAACTACTTATGTTAATCAGCAAAATCAACCAAATAAATGATTTACAAAGACAGAAAATCCCACATGAATCAGCAGTCCCTCATACAGGGAAATTTATCAGACTTTGTTTTCTTATTTCATCCACCATCCAGTATTCTAAAGAGACTTGTTTCAATACTCAGGTGAGAGGGTATGAGACACCTAATCTGTTGAGGCAATCAGAAAGACCTACCTTGAATCACTGGACCATCATATTGTCACGTGTTAGTAATTAGACACAGTGGTTGGACTGATAATTGGATTTACTCAATCCTTTGTAACTACAATTATTATAATAAAGGCAAATAGGGTAAAGCTACCCCTGTAACATGACATGAAGACAAATATTGTGAGACATCAATGCTCCCACATTTGATAGACAATCAGCTCACAGATTGAGGCAAAGTTGTCAACCTTATGCACCGGGCACCCTTTACCTCCAGGAAGATTCCTGGTATTCATTCAAACACTGTACAAATCACTACCGGAAACACTAAGTCTCTTATGCCTTCACTAGTCGTTGCTTGGTAGTGGCATCTAACAGTGTAACTCAAGACTGTGGACCGGTATCTGCCACTCCGACCTCAGACTTCTAACTCCCAACTTGGTCTCCGAAATTGCTATTGGACGTCGACAGCACAGTCATTCTTGGTTCTGAGTCTCATGGAGCTCATGAGCATATTCTACTTTCTCACATCTCTGGGTGTCATGCAACCATTCGCCTTGTCCTGTTGGTCATTATGTAGCCTCACCATGGACTGCATAGGAAACACAGCTTCCAAGAATTCCTCCATTAGTGAGCGACATGTTAAGCCTAGAAATGGTCTGGGTACTGTTGATACTGGAGCATGTTTTGGTTGCCATGAAAACATGTTTACCAATCACTGCCTAGCAATGGATGCCTTTTCTGGGTTCGCTATTCCAGCTTTCAGCTGTCATATGCTGTTTTCCTTACCTTCTGAAAAAGCGGCCTCCGGAGTCTAGGGGTAACATTCCCACCTCATGATTCAAGGTACGCGGGTTCAAATCCGGTGGAGGTCGTGGAATTTTTAAGGGCAGAAAAATTCACGGAACAAGTCCTCCGGGAGGAACCTTAAGCCGTGGGTCCCGTGTCATAGATTTACGGCACGTAAAAGATCCTCATGTCTCTAGGAGACCTCTGAGCAAAATTAGGTAAATAGTTTCCAATGCCTCCGGTAGATGGGGAAGCATCGGGTACCGCAGCCAGCCTTGCTGGCTGAACAGGGCTGATAGCGAGCATCAGTACCGGCAGGGTATGGAGACTGGTAGAATATCAAAGGGGGATGTACAATAGACTATTAGTCGGGGTGCATGGGGAAACCCACCCCCTCCAATAATAATAATAATAATAATAAAATACCTTCTGAAACCATACTACACATAATTTTGTATAAACTGTACATTTCCTCACCTGAAATATTAATGTTGTGTTGATCTTCAGTCTGAAGCTGAAACCTTCCACCACCCATTGGTTCAAAATCATCCGGCTCTGATATTAGCACATTACGTATCCTAGTAAGTTTTGACACGGTTTCCACATCTTCGCTCACTGGTTCATCTTTTACCATATAATCACTTGATATCTGCTGCTGCACCATATCTATATGACTGCTTGGATCCGAACCAGAAGCAGCAACAACCAGATCAGTATTGTACTCCACTACTGACCCAGATATTGTTTGCTGATGACCATAATCAACCGCAGAACATGATGGTGTAGGTTCATTTACAGAGACATGTTCCCTATTACCATCATTTACTGTAGTTTCTTCAGGGCAGAGGAATACTTCTATTTCACCATTTTCACTCTTCATATACATTTGCAGGCCCTGTAACAAAATTCTAATACATTATTTCCAAGATTAAGAATTGATATTTGCAGAGAATAAATCCCTTACAATTGTAACAAAAAATAAGACACAACTTTTAGTTACTACAGGATTCTGACGATGGTGTATAATACACAGAGCTATTGGGTTTTCGGACTTTATCCATCGTCCTGGTTTTAAGATAACTAAGAAAAACAAGACGTTTCGGAAACTGGATCTGTTTCCATCCTCAGGCGAGGGAAAACACCTATTCTGTTGGGTCCCTTAGAAAGAGCTAGCCTCAATCACTGGATTGTGACTGTCCAGTGATTGAGGCTAGCTCTTTCTATGGGACCGAACAGAATAGGCGTTTTCCTTCACCTGAGGACAGAAACAGACCCAGTTTCCGAAATGTCTTGTTTTTCTTAGTTATCTTAAAACCAGGACGATGGATAAAGTCCGAAAACCCAATAGCTCTGTGTATTATACACCATCGTCAGAATCCTGTAGTAACTAAAAGTTGTGTCTTATTTTTTGTTACAATTGTAAGGGATTTATTCTCTGCAAATATCAATTCTTAATCTTGGAAATAATATATTAGAATTTTGTTACAGGGCCTGCAAATGTATATGAAGAGTGAAAATGGTGAAATAGAAGTATTCCTCTGCCCTGAAGAAACTACAGTAAATGATGGTAATAGGGAACATGTCTCTGTAAATGAACCTACACCATCATGTTCTGCGGTTGATTATGGTCATCAGCAAACAATATCTGGGTCAGTAGTGGAGTACAATACTGATCTGGTTGTTGCTGCTTCTGGTTCGGATCCAAGCAGTCATATAGATATGGTGCAGCAGCAGATATCAAGTGATTATATGGTAAAAGATGAACCAGTGAGCGAAGATGTGGAAACCGTGTCAAAACTTACTAGGATACGTAATGTGCTAATATCAGAGCCGGATGATTTTGAACCAATGGGTGGTGGAAGGTTTCAGCTTCAGACTGAAGATCAACACAACATTAATATTTCAGGTGAGGAAATGTACAGTTTATACAAAATTATGTGTAGTATGGTTTCAGAAGGTATTTTTTTATTATTATTATTATTATTGGAGGGGGTGGGTTTCCCCATGCACCCCGACTAATAGTCTATTGTACATCCCCCTTTGATATTCTACCAGTCTCCATACCCTGCCGGTACTGATGCTCGCTATCAGCCCTGTTCAGCCAGCAAGGCTGGCTGCGGTACCCGATGCTTCCCCATCTACCGGAGGCATTGGAAACTATTTACCTAATTTTGCTCAGAGGTCTCCTAGAGACATGAGGATCTTTTACGTGCCGTAAATCTATGACACGGGACCCACGGCTTAAGGTTCCTCCCGGAGGACTTGTTCCGTGAATTTTTCTGCCCTTAAAAATTCCACGACCTCCACCGGATTTGAACCCGCGTACCTTGAATCATGAGGTGGGAATGTTACCCCTAGACTCCGGAGGCCGCTTTTTCAGAAGGTAAGGAAAACAGCATATGACAGCTGAAAGCTGGAATAGCGAACCCAGAAAAGGCATCCATTGCTAGGCAGTGATTGGTAAACATGTTTTCATGGCAACCAAAACATGCTCCAGTATCAACAGTACCCAGACCATTTCTAGGCTTAACATGTCGCTCACTAATGGAGGAATTCTTGGAAGCTGTGTTTCCTATGCAGTCCATGGTGAGGCTACATAATGACCAACAGGACAAGGCGAATGGTTGCATGACACCCAGAGATGTGAGAAAGTAGAATATGCTCATGAGCTCCATGAGACTCAGAACCAAGAATGACTGTGCTGTCGACGTCCAATAGCAATTTCGGAGACCAAGTTGGGAGTTAGAAGTCTGAGGTCGGAGTGGCAGATACCGGTCCACAGTCTTGAGTTACACTGTTAGATGCCACTACCAAGCAACGACTAGTGAAGNGCAATTTAAAAGTCCGTACGTTAAAGGTTAAATATTTAAATCACACTGGGGACCGGCATTTTTATACCTACTACACAAACTTGTGCACTGTTCACTTTAAGAATTAATATAAAATATCCTAATTAATTTTATGAACTAAAATTTTTGGAGAATACTTACCAGTGCTCCTAGAAGTGCTTAAGAGTGTGATATTTCTGGAAACATTCCCCTTTGTGAAGTGGCATTATAAGAGGATGTACCCAAAAGAAACCGAACTTATTTTTTTTTAAACTTATTCACTCAAATTTTAAGCACAAACCTTCAATCCCCTTCAAAGTACTCTCCACTTACACTAATACCCTTGTCTAGTCTTTTATTCCATTTTTCAAAACATTGTCTAAATTCATCTTTTGAGATGCTTGACAACGCCTTCCTTCACCTCAGCAACATCAGCAAAACACTTTCCTTTCATGTCTCTTTTCAAAGGATTCAAAAAAAGTTTTGATCATTTCAAGACTCTTCTTTCAAAGCACAGCATGCTTCCACGCGACCTTGTTTTTGTTCAGCAGTCAGCAGTTGTGGCACGAATTTCGCAGCCACCCTTTTCATTCCCAAATCTTCTGTCAAAATTCGCTGAACTGAGCTCCAAGTCACTCCCGACAGCTCCACAATTTCTTCAATGGTCCGTCGTCAATCTTCCTTGAAGATTTCACGAATTTTTTCAACATTTTCATGTGTTCAGGCCGTGGAAGGACGACCAGAACGAGGTTTGTCATCAATTGACATTTCACCATTTTTGAAACGGGAAAACCACTCAAACACTTCAGTTTTCCCCATAGCATCGTCCTTGTACGCTGTTTTAACATTTTTAAGAGTTTGTGTTCCACTTTTGCCGAGCAAAAAGCAGAATTTCACCACCGCACGCTGTTCACGAAAATCAGCCATTGCAAAAACGACGATCACACAAAACAGTTGTCACTATAAACTCTGCCGAAACTAGTCCTTACCTTCTGAAGCAACGATAGTTGGCTTATCGACTCAGGAATGTTAGCTCTATGCGCTCATAGCGGCAAAATGCGGTACTACAAAAGCTGTGCCCACAAAAAATTTAGTTCAGTTTCTTTTGGGTACCCCATCGTACACTTTCAAATGTAGACATAGTCCTTTTTTTTGTGAACTGTGCAAACATGGCATTGCCTAGAAGGATTCTTCCCCTTGGAATGTTCACTCTTCACAATTTTCACGAGGGAATTTTTAGGCATATCACTTGAGAGTCGCCCTGGGAGGGTCCACATGAGGCCTTCATGGGGTGAGAGTTGAAGGGCCCGGTCATACTAAGTCTTTGTGTGACCCTGGTTCTGCCGCCACCATCTGGACTGTAGCCCAGGCCTTTGCCACATTCATCAGAAATGCTTTGTATTTCAATTTAGAATCAGGGTTTAGATTTTTGTAAACCAAAAATGAATTGAAAATGGCACAATTTATAAGCCACAAGGCAACTTTCACTTTTATTATCTGTGGCCACAATTCTTTATTGACCCCTCACTTCCACTGTCTGAGTCACTAATCACTACTCCTCCATAAGGCAGGCAGATAGCTCCATAAACAAGTCAAGAGAGATCACTTGCCTTCAACTGCTTTTGACCTTGAAACATATTCCCCTCTACTAACTTCCTGCCTGGTATATAAACAGCTGGAAGAGGCAAAGTTTATTTTCTTTTGGAGTAGGGACCTTAGGCAGCCAGGTAAAGTTACTGAATACCTATCATACATTCTGAAGATTTATTACGCAGTATTCATTGCAGTTGCGTGGCGCCACTGGTCGCAAAGTGTTAAGCATCTTCACTGACATGTCTTTATCACACAGTAATGTTGACTGTTATATCGTACAATGGGAAACACATCTGTCACACCAAGATCTCACTGACTTTTCTTCTGTACGGCTTCATACTCAAGAAGACATACCCTTCAAGATGTTTTAGATGAAATCCAGTAGTAGATGTCATATCCTGAAGTTTTTCCCCTTCCAAACAAGGACTAACTGTGTCACTCAAGTAAATGTGGGAAAAGAATTGCCTAAAACATATTTGACAGTGCTCTCACTGAAATACAGTATTGTCACATGGTTAAGCGACATCTATATATAGAGTACCTTCTAAGTCAGAAGTTTCCGACTTTTGGCTCTTCCTCAATGCTGAAAAGGGTCCATAAGAATGAGCCTTGGGCAACAAATTTAGCAATAGACAAGACTGCTTTCAGTTGCAGTTGTCTAGAAGTGTGCAATACACAGTAAGAAACATATTTCTCTAGCATTCCAGTGTTCATAAAAATGTATAAGCATCCACACATTCATAAAATGTGTAAAAACACACACAGTGTAACATTTAGTAGTTCATGCAGATGGCATGAAAACTTACGTAAGAACAGTGTCTGGATAAATAATAAAATTAAGTTTCCTTTAAAGTTTTCTATTGTGAAAGAGGTTCAATTTAATCAGATAAATACAGGACCAAAGTTCAAAATTTTCATGTGTAGAGATCAATGTGAAGTAGGTTTAGCAGAGGGAAGACAAATACACAAGATGAAAAAGATAATTACAGGTATCTGCAGTAAGATGCAGCAAAGAATAATACAACAAATTCTTATGTTCTGGATAACATGGTAATTCTTTCTTATTTTTTTATTGCTAGTGGGGTGGGACTTAGTCCCTTGCACTGCGGCCACTTCTGGCCTATTGTACCAGCCCCAGATGATAGGTGAGGGTGACTGTGGAGCAGTTGGTGGAATGAAGATTGGCAGGGGAAACCGAAGTACTTGGAGAAAATTTGCCCCGGCGCCACTTTGTCCACCACAAATCCCACTTGACCAGACCTGGGATTGAACCTGGGCCTCTGCGGTGGGAAGCCAGTGACTAACCGCTTGAGCTATGGCGCAGAATGGTAATCCTTACTTGTGAACATAATTAAGGTGAAATGCAATATATGTACTCCTAGTCACATGCGAGTTTGAAAAATGCGGTCCACTAATTTAGATCGATCTCAATGCAAGCTGCTTGGTGGCCAATCAAGTGAGACTATTGTGGATTTGTGGAGGATGAATACAAGGGATGAAAGGAAAAATTCACCCACTTCAAATTTCTGTTGGAATAAAATTATAACATAAATTGAGGAATGCCTGTACTCACCAATTCCAGGACTCCTGTCACCAACCCAATATCCTACTGAAAGACACACATATTTAAATATTACAAAATCCAATTCATACTAACTTGACTGGGATGAGGCACTTGTAGCTTGGCCTCTGGTGGTGCTTTGATGGCCATGATAGTTTGATGCCTGTACTCAGGGATGCCACGCAGGTCTTGGTATGTTATGTACGCATACTGCTTCTCTTCACTCAATTGCCGGAGGTTACACTCTGTGTGTGACAATGATTTCACAAATTTCACTACAAATGTTGGCACATTTCACTTTACAGGATAAAAAATGTAAAAATCAGTCAGTGACATGACATGAAAATTTAAAAGCCTCGTATTTATCTAAAATGTAAACAAGTTACATCCAAGATAATTTTTGAACACAAAAGAGTAAAGCATGAAATCAACATATAAGTTTTGTCATCCTAAAAACTTTAGTTTTGAAATGTGGTACTTATTTATAGGGGGAGCTTAACCTACAGCAATTTGTTTGCTTTACTTTTGTCCACTAGATGTTTTGTGGTGTGCTTCTTTAGCACTTTGAGAGAAGAATAAAATAAAAGGTTCTTGTCCTTAGGTTAGTGTTCGGGCCGCGCCATAGCTCAAGCGGTTAGTCGCTGGCTTCCCGTGTTTGATCCCAGGTCTGGTCAAGTGGGATTTGTGGTGGACAAAGTGGCACTGGGGCAGGTTTACTCTGAGTACTTCAGTTTCCCTTGCCAATCTTCATTTCACCAAATTCTCCATTATCTTTATCACCAGGGGCAGGTACAATAGGCCAATCAGTGGCCACCATGCTGAGTGGACTAAGCTGGACTCCACCCCCCACTAAGCAAAAAAAAAAAAAAAAAAAAAAAAAAAAAAAAAAAAAAAAAAAAAAAAAAATTAGGTTATAGTGACTGTATAAATTCATCTTTCAGGAATAAGATGTTGAAGGGTTTCCATTACCGTGAAAACACAGCAGTTGTCACCTCCACAATTATGAGTCTTGGGAAAAAGGGGTGTTTGAAGCTCCACTATTAACCTGACAGTGGCTGCAAGTGAAGGAGTACTTGGACAGCAAGGAGCAGGAAGCCATCCAACAGGAGGCAACCACATGACTGAAAGATTAATGGTGACCAGGTGCATATAAAAACAAAGTGATGAAAGACTTTTTTTGTTGGTGATCCTGTGCTTGTAACAGGTGATGATGGGAGCACTCTTAACAACCTTCACGATAACTGGCGACAAAATGTTTATGCAATCACAAGGTTAAGTAAGGAATGTACGTCCTTCGTAAATACCAGTTATACCTTGCTGTCCTTACACCATCTTGCTTGAAGCAAACCACAAAAGCAAAATCAGATGGATATAAAATATATGAACTATAAGACAATGCTGCACATATAACATGACTGCAACACCGAAACAGAGTTAACATCAGACTCTGTGTACTAGCAAGAACATAACACAACAGTTTAATTTTGTAAAATGACATGGTATTCCATCCTACCAGCACTTGTAATCAGCTTATCCAGCATGTTTTCTTTGGCTTCAAGATCTTCAATGTCATTCTGCAGACTGCCAGCTGTCAAACCTGCATCACTAAGAATCTGGCCACCCCTGTAAAATCAAACATAATAGCAAACTCAAATGAAATATAAACAATTTATGTCACTTCCCCTTCAGACATATATCATCATACAGTGTGAACCAGCTTGACTGCAACATCAAATTATGCAGCACTGAAGTAAAACGATTCTGTAGCAAAAATCTCCTGGTCATGAAGCTGACTATTCACCTCTGCCAAGGTCAAGATTGCATGGAGCTGTACCTCCACTTCCCCATGCACTTTCACAATGTGATGTTTCATTAATCAACCACAGGGAAAACTTTACCTTCATTTAAAAGCTAAAATTAATGAGCCATTGTGAATATTGTGAGTTGAGAGTAGTTGCATGAAATTTGGTGCTGGAGACAAACCTTAAACATTTCATGAATTATGTGTTTGGAATATTTATATGCTAAAATTACAGATATGGCAACATTTAAAACATTCTGAGGTTACCTGAGATTTGACGTTCTCATAGCAGTGAATATTAACATCAGTTTTCTCAAATCTGTAGTTTGGTAGATCGGTACAAATGTTTCAAAGGAACCTGTCTACCAAAATATATATCATAAAAGCTTTTCACACCCTTGAAATCCAGTCTACACTAGTGAAAATTATATCACAAAAATAAGTTTAGTGTGCAGTACAATTACTGTATTCATTTATAATTTATAGAAGCCTCTCTGAACTGATGGAAGCATTTAAAGGTCAACAGTCTTGGAAGTTCTTCGCACATGTCAAATTTATCTTTTAAATTATGCATCATAGCATCTATAACATCAACAGCTGGTAACACTTCGAGGCTCAGAGGTTGGTAGCATTTACATAGGCCTTCTTAGGTCAGTAACTTTGCCTAAGATGGTGGGGGTGGTATATTGTTGGGCCATCCTCTTTTCCTCATTCAGTAACTGTCTGTCTGAGAGTGCAGACATCAGTTCTTGTGAGCTCAGTCAAAAGAACTTGTAAGAGACTGTGTTTAACTTGAATGTTTTCATACAAAGATAGTCAATGTAGTTATCAAATGAAATTCTTACTTGTATCAGCTGATAACCATGTAACAACTCATCACAATTTATATTAAACTGAGTCAGTGTGTTTAACATTTGGTCACTTATGTGTATATGGCATTATGGCCTGCATATTACAAAATTTCCTTTTGAAATTACTGCAATGAACACCAACCATTTTTCAAGAAGAAGCAGGAAACATGAGGATTTATACATATCAATGTACCTAAAAAGAGAAGAGCAAAATATCAAGAACATTTTTACTAAAGTAACTGCATTTCAATGAGGAGACAAGTGAGTTTTTTTACCTCCACTGAATATTATTCTTTGATTTCTTCTCTAAAATTCCAATTCCCTCAAGCACATTTGTGATGTCATAAATTCTTCTTTTCTGAACATCAAGGCACTCAGATGCTACATTCAGGTCTACCACTCCATCTGGTGATGACTGAAGCAAGCCAACAAACTTCTTGGTTAGAAGACCCAACGAAGTGTCATATCGTGTCCTCTCCATAGGTTTACCTGCACAAAGAAAATATTGGTAATAATGCACATATGAATTTCAAAGATCACTTGGAAGTAAAAGCAATAAAATACCTGTCAAGTGCACAGAGAACAATATGCCATGCACACCTGCCTCAAGATTTTAAATTCTGGAGTGCTGAATTACAATACTGCTCCATTTCAGCCAACTTCATGTCATTTTATTACACAAAGCTGCTCCAGTATTTTAGCCAAACTAAAGTGTGGAGAGTAATACAGTGATATCAAGAGACAGCTGGTAAAGAGTCAATGAAGAATCTATGTCAAGCGTCCTACCATTTCAGACTATTTACTGATACCAACAATTTTCTTCTCTGAACCATGATTTGGAAAGAGTTATGTGACTGATTAACTCTGAATTAGGCCACGCCATAGCTCAAGCGGTTAGTCGCTGGCTTCCCATCGCGGCAGCCTGGTTTCGATCCCAGGTCTGGTCAAGTGGGATTTGTGCTGGACAAAGTGGCGCTGGGGCATGTCTCCTCAGAGTACTTCGGTTTCTCTTGCCAATCTTCATTCCACCAATTGCTTCACAATCACCCTCACCTATCATCTGGTACAATAGGCCAGAAGTGGCCGCAGTACAAGGGACTTAGCCCCACCCCACTAACAATAAAAAAACTCTTAAATTATTTTACTACTGACATCGTACCACAACAGGCAACCCTTCAGTCATGACATGTTCTGTCGTGAAGTCTAAAACTTGAAACATGCCATAAACAGATGCAAGCAAGAAATACAAATTATGCTGTTTATGAACACAAGCAACCAGTAGTAATTACTACATCTGGTAAGTTTACTTTCTTTCTCTTATAGAGACAACATTTAAAACTGGCAAAGGCAGTTGTTGTCTTTTTAATACAGAAACACTAAGCAGAAGTTGAGGGAACAGCTGTATCTAATGACAACATTTTGTTCCCAATAGGATGTGAATGCAATGGTTCCCAACTTCCTTGCACCGCAGCCCAGTAAAGCCAAATAAAGGTTAAATCATTATTCATATAATTAAGATGCCTCAACATGTAACACTAAACATTAATAATGGTTAAATTGATGTCAATATTCACTGCTATGAGAATGTCAAATCTCAGGTAACCTCAGAATGTTTTAAATGTTGCCATATCTGTTATATAATGGTTCTGACCAAAGCGGACCAAACATGATGCATAATGGCAGATAAAAGACAGCTCCAGACCTAACACATTTTCTGTAGAAATGTGCTGCACCCAATATTGAGTCACAGTGCATTTAAGGGTACTGGAATGGGGGGGGGGGCACTTGGCCAGCTGCACCATGTGTAAGCACCACAATAACAGTGCAATGTAAAGCTACTAAAGTTTAATCTATTCTGCTTAATTAATATTTTGTATTCAGACATCCAAACTGTACACGGAAGCTCAAAATACGCACTAATAAATATTTCTCACAATATATACAGGGTGTCCCAGGAGGAATGGACCAAACTTCGGGAGGGTGTTCCTTATGTTAAAGTATGCCGATATAACCCAAAACACCTATGTCCAAAGTTGAACGGTTACGGAGATAATGGCCAGAGAAGTGTGAAACTTTGACCGGTGTTACACACTTGTTGATTATAAAATACATATTA